GTTCACGTTTTTGTATAGCCCCCACATAATAGTGCCTCCCTATATTCGGTGTTTTGATGAAGCTGGTCCACGTCGTCGTATAGACCCTAATATAACGGCTACATTCCGTATTTTTAAGATTTTAACAGAACTTAAAGGATTTTCTTTTTTTAAAAATTGCCAATTTCGTTCCTAATGGTGAAGGGTATTCAAAGTTCGGCCCGGCTGAACTTACAGATTTTTTACTTGTTTTTAGTAATTTTTATGGGCTTTCAGTGCTATAAACGAGAATTCAAGGATTTTGAGCGTTATTAAATAATAATTTTCACGGACCAACAGATTTATAAACGAGGCTTAAAACATAGACTTTTAATGTATCCTTTTTCAAACGTAGATTTTTAAAATAATATTATTTCAAGGACAACCAGGGCACTAAACATGGATTTTTTTAAGAATATTTCTTCGATGAAGATATATATTTAAAAAAAATTAAATACCTCAGATTTATAAACTTTAAATTTTTATAAAATATTTTCTAAACCTTGTTTTTTTTAGGACTTTCAAGGCTCTACACGTGGTTTATCAAAAATATGTTTTTCAAGGACCACCAGGATGTAAAAATGGATTTTTGTAATATTTTTCAGGGATCGCCAAAGCTATGAGCGTGGATTTTTAAAGAATATTTTTCAAGGAATATTTTAAGGACAATCGGAGTGAATTTCAAGGAGGATTTTAAAGTGGGGCTTTGAATAAATTTTATCTATCGGGCCTATAAACGCGATTTTTTTAAGAATAATTTTTCAAAGAAATTCACATTTTAAAAAGGACCTTTTTGGCTGTCAACATTTATTTTTTTTTAAGAATATTTCTCAAGGTTATTTTCCAACGTGGTTTTTTCAAAGGAATTTAATATGGAATATTATTTTCAAGAATAAAAATAATAATCGTGGATTTGTAACGAGTATTTTTCCAAAGACCATTACACCCTAATGGCGGTTTTTAAAAGAACCATCATGGCCATAATCATGGAAGTTACAAAAATATCTTTCCTTGACTACCAGACCATAATTTACGGGTTGTAAAGGATATTTTTTAAAGGCCCTTTCTTAAAACATATTATTTTCAAAAACCAATAGGTTCAAAATTTAGGTTTTATAAAGAATAGTTTTTAAGATTAGTTTTACAAAAGCTTTGTTTAGACATGTCAGACCACATTTTGCATATAAATGGGCCGCAATTTTTAGTCTGGATCGAAATTTGGAATAACCTCCATATGACGCCAGCTCCTAAATATATGAATGTTGCAGGCCCTAAATCGTTATTTTCAATCTTGGTACATCTAAATATTTCTCTCCACTAGAATGTGGTATTAACCGGTCCTTCTTCTTGTACCGGTACCAAATTTCAGATTTCAAGCAGTATCCGTTCATGCAATACCAAATTTTGTACCATTCAGTACCTTTGGTGTACATATTTTCTAGAACCCAAATCCTACACAACAACAGTAATCTTAATTCAAAATTTTTAGGACTCCAGCTCTATGGGTTGACCCAAATCCAAATTGTTCTAATAAATACTAATTGTTGAATTAAATACTAATTCAAAATTTCTGGATTCCAACTCTACCGGTTCTCCCAAAAATTTAAATTGTACCAAATTTAGTATTATTTAGTACACATAAGTACGAATTTCCAAAACTACCTACATACCTCAGCCCTACAATGAAATAGTAATTTTATTTACAAATTTTAGCATTCTAGCTCTATAAGTTCACCCAAACCGAAATCGAATTAAATGTAGTACCATGAGTACAAACTTCGAAAACTCCATCCATATCCCTTGTTAATTTCAAATTTCAGAACTCTACTTTCTTCCGTTCCTCCAAATTCAAATTGTACTAAATGTAGTACCGTTTAGTAATTTTCGTATACAAGAATGCACACATGCAATATTACCTCCTTACATCGACTCTACTTCTCAGTCTTATGATACGAAATGGTACCAAATATAGTACATTTTAGTACTTTTCGTACACTTATATTGCGTATTTTCAAAAACCCTTTGGTTTATCTCTCATACACTCCCTCATTGACCATCCATCAGTGACCCTCATTCCACTGCTTCCGCAAATACAAAGGATACAATATTAGTACCTTTTACTACTTTTCGTACCCTTTTAGTACGAATTTCAAGCAAGCGCTTCGCCAGCAATGGGCCGAAATACCGCACAGCAATATTCGGACAGCGTTGACGGTTTCATTGGCCGTTTGAAGGCCATGATTCGTGCCAAACATGACCAATTATAAGTAGTTACTTTGTTGGGTCTGACATAAGTATTTTCAGGAGTTACCAACGGAATGACAAAGTTAATGTGCCCTCCATAGTATGGTGAAGGCTATAAAAAACAATTTGGACAAAAATCGGGGGTTTGTTCAGTTTGGGCATTTCATCTCGTTTCTTCATAAATCTTTCTCGAAAAAAACCCTCCATATCTCATTATTGTTATGCTCCCCCCATTGGCTGCGAAATATTCTAAAACAAAGTCCTTCAAATGCTATCTTGCCAATGATATATTCATTTCCACTTCTGCTAAATTGGAAATTACAAATACTTGAAAGTCCTCATAACATTTCTTTATTATGTTAATGTGATTGTTTGATTGAATATATTCTTATGTGATTATCATATCCTTATTACTGCATCGCATCACTGAAAAATACAGATGAGGATACTTGAAAATGAAATTCAAAGAAGAAGAAAACAAAGAAGGAAAGGAAATGGAAATGGAAAATAAAAATCGCTTAATTGATGTGTTTTCACAACCGACACAACAGCAACAACAACAACACAAAAGATGAATTCTTTATTTTATTATTATCCTTGATGTGCTGGTCGAGTTAATTTTTCTTCTCCATCTCGAGGATACTGAGGACGAAGCAGCAGCATTCAATAAATCATTTAATTTCCATTCAATGTAACTGCATTGTTTATGTGTTTATTATACCCTCCACCATAGTATGGAGGGTATATCAAGTTTGTCATTCTGTTGGTAACACCTCGAAATATACATTTTAGAACCCACAAAGAATATGATCAGCATAAAATTCTATGTCGATTTAACGATGTCCTTCCGTCTGTAGAAATCCCTCTAGCTTTCGAACGAAATGCATATTATGTCTACAAGACTTTTGGTATTGAAAATGGGCCATTTAGGCCCACGTTAATCGTATAACCCTCATATAACGGTACCTCCCGATATTCGGTATTTTGATGGTTTAAGCGACATTATTGAGCGGAATTGTTTCAAATTTGGTATTTGATGTTCGTAATGGATGCTACAGCCTATGACAGGAGATTGTCTGTGCAGGTCCACGTTTTCGTATAGCCCCCATATAACGGTACCTCCCGATATTCGGTACTTTGTTGATTTTAGCGACATTATTCGTTGGAATTCATTCAAATTTGGTATTTGATGTTCGTAATGGATGCTACAGCCTATGACAGGAGATTGTCTGTCCAGGCCCACGTCTTCGTATATAACGGTACCCTCATATAACGGTACCTGCCGATATTCGGTATTTTGTTGATTTTAGCGACATTATTCACCAGAATTCTTTCAAATTTGGTATTTGATGTTCGTAATGGATGTTACAGCCTAAGATAGAAAATTGTCTCTGCAGGTCCACGTCTTCGTATAGCCCCCATATAACGACACCTTCCGATATTCGGTACTTTGTTGATTTTAGCGACATTATTTACGGGAATTGTTTCAAATTTGACATTTGAAGTTCGTTATGGTTGCTACAGCCTAAGACAGAAAATTGTCTGTGCAGGTCCACGTCTTTGTATAGCCCCCATATAACGGTACCTGCCGATATTCGGTACTTTGTTGATTTTAGCGACATTATTCACCAGAATTCTTTCAAATTTGGTATTTGATGTTCGTAATGGGTACTACAGCCCATGACAGGAGATTGTCTGTGCAGGTCCACGTCTTCGTATAGCCCCCATACAACGATATTTGTACTTTGTTGATTTTAGCGACATTATTCACCGGAATTCTTTCAAATTTGGTATTTGAAGTTCGTAATGGATACTACAGCCTAAGACAGAAAATTGTCCGTGCAGGTCCACGTCTTCGTGTAGCCCCCATATAACGGTACCTCCCCATATTCGACATTTTGATGGTTTTAGTGACATTATTCACCGGAATTCTTTCAAATTTGGTATTTGAAATTCGTAATGGATGCTACAGCTTAAGACAGAAAGTTGTCTGTGCAGGTCCACACCTTCGTATAGCCCCAATATAACGGTACCTCCCGATATTCGGTGTTTTGTTGATTTTAGCGGCGTTATTCACTTGAATTCTCTCAAATTTTGTATTTGATGTTCGTAGTGGATACTACAGCCTAAGACAGAAAATTGTCTGTGCAGATCCACATCTTCGTATAGCATCCATACCTCCCGATGCTTACCTCCCGATATTCGGTATTTTGATGATTTTTTCAAGTTTCTCATTTGAATATTGAAGTGGCTTATGACAAAACTTACCTATGCAGGTCCATGTCGTCGTATAGACCCTTGTATAACAGCTACATTCGGTATTTTAAGATTTTAACAGAATTTTTAACGGATTTTATTTATTTATTAATTTTTTTTTTTTTTGAGAATTCGTTCCAAATGGTGGAGGGTATTCAAAGTTCGGCCCGGCCGAAATTATAGCTTTTTTATTTGTTTTTATTGGATTTTCTTTTTCTGTTCTACTTCTTCTTCCGTCATTCATTCATTATCCTTTGTGAAGAAATGGCAGTGGTGGTAGCAATGATTTCCGTGCCAACTATTAATGATTGACCTCGCCAGAGCGCTGATAATGATGAGCGATAGTACACTACTAGTTTTCCATAACTTTTGGAAAATTTCAAAATTTTCCTCTTCGTTTTCCCACTACATTCTTTTGATTAATGTATTCTTTGTTGATGCTTTTTTCTCACATGTAACCCCTTTTTTCTTCTCTTCCGCAGAAATGAAAAATTCTATACGTGCTGCGACGAGCCGTACTTGGATATCACGTTTAATATCACAATGCGCCGTAAAACGCTCTTCTATACAGTTAATCTCATTATACCGTGTATGGGAATCAGTTTTTTAACGATTTTAGTATTTTATCTGCCATCAGATAGTGGTGAAAAAGTAAGTAAATTATTCAAAGCTCATCAAACACACACGCACACACACACACCCACAATCCCTGCAATTTGCCATGCCATGTTGGCCACACTAACACACACTCACAGACAACGACCCATTACTTTTCCTTTTTGTCTTTTTTGTCATAAATATTTATGTTTGAACATTTGTAACTGACGTATCGTGAAGATGCTGGCGAGGATGATGATGATGACGACATCAAATACGATTACATCTCTCTAGCAGTTACAGTCATCCTCTTCAAGCCAGCAAAAAAAAATCAGAGAAGGACTTGATTTGCATCAAACTTTAATATTCTTTGACTTGACTATATTTTGTCTGTCTGTGTGCGAGTGTGTGTACATGTGTATGTGTGTGCGCTCAAAATAATTCTGGTCCTTTATTCTGCATTACTGATGCTGATGATGTTTTCTTTTTTTTCCCTACTGCCTTTTGTTGTTTTTTTTCGGTTCGTTTTTTTTTTTCTTCTTTTTGCAGGTCTCATTAAGCATATCCATTTTACTGTCGTTGACTGTGTTCTTCTTGCTGCTGGCGGAAATTATTCCGCCAACATCGTTAGTTGTGCCGCTTTTAGGGAAATTTGTACTTTTTACAATGATACTCGACACATTCAGGTAAGTCAAAGACTCTGTTTTTTTGCAGGTTATTATAACACCTAGACACCTACATGGTAATGTATGCGAGGCTTACATTTCGTAACATATATATTAATTTGTAAGTGTGATAATGTCTGATCAATAGACAGGGTATGAGATATTCTATAATTTTTTGGAAGAGAACATGGAGAAAATCTTATTATTTTGGAGATGGAATTTTTTTTCGTGAAAATACCAATTTCTCGTCCATGAGAAATGTATTTAAAATTTCCATAGCAACATTTTTGTAGAAAATTTTAATGGTTTCTATTCCTTATTGGTGTAGGATATATTTGAATGCCTTTAAGTATAGAAATCTTCTGTAAGATATGTTTCTGCATAGAAGACCTCTGAAAGCTTTTTTCCTAACCTTGGAAGGCACAAAAGTGTAGTCCATATATAGCGGACTGCAAGGCGTTCTTTAGATAAACCTTTTAAAAGAACCATTTACTTATCGATGGAATGAGGTCTGCTATCCATAAAAGATCTCTGGAAGGTATCTTTACATATGAGGTCTTCTGTGTATTCAAGACCTCTTAAAGGCTCCCCCAGGTATAGAAGAAGGAAGACCCCTGAAACTTCTTCTAAGTTGAAAAGACCACTAGAAAGACCTTGATGTGCTGGTCGACATAATTTTCTTCTCCATCTCGAGGATACTGAGGACGAAGCAGCATTCAATAAATAATTTGATTTCTATTCAATGTTCATTGTTTATGTGTTTATTATACCCTCCACCATAGTATGGAGGGTATATGAAGTTTGTCATTCTGTTTGTAACGCCTCGAAATATACATTTTAGACATCACAAAGTATTTATATTCTGATCAGCATAAAATTCTATGTCGATTTAGCGATGTCCTTCCGTCTGTGGAAATCACCCTAGCTTCCGAACGAATTGAAGTAGATTGATGAAATTTTACTAAAATGTATATTATGTCTACAGGACTTTAGGTCCACGTTTTGGTATAGCCCCCACATATCTGTACCTCGCGATATTCGGTATTTTGATGATTTCAGCGACATCATTTACCGCAATTGTTTCAAAATTGATATTTGAAGTTCGTAATGGATACTACGGCTTAACACAGAAAACGGACCATGTAGGTACACGTCTTCGTATAGCCCCCATATAACGGTACCTCCCCATAATCGGTATTTTGATGATTTCAAAGACATTATTTACCGAAACTATTTCAAATTTGGTATTTGAAGTTCGTAATTAATTCTACAGCCTATGACAGAAAATTGTCTGTGCAGATCCACGTGTTCGTATAGCCTCCATATAAAGGTACCTCCCGATATTCGGTATTTTGATGGTTTTAGCGACATTATTCACCGGAATTGTTTAAACTTTGGCATTTGAAGTTCGTAATGGATACTACAGTCTATGGCAGGAGATTGTCCGTTCAGTTTCACGTCTTCGTATAGCCCCCATATAACGGTACCTCCCGATATTCGGTATTTTGATGAGTTTAGCTACATTATTCACCGGAATTGTTTAAACTTTGGTATTTGAAGTTCGTAATGGATACTACAGTCTACGACAGAAAATTGTCTGTGCAGGTCTATGTTTTATAACCCCCATTGTACTTCCCTATTTAAGGTAATTTGATGATTTTAGCTACATTATAAACAGATTGCTTTCAAGTTTCGCATTTGAATATTGTAATGGCTTGTGACAAATATTACCTTTGCAGGTCCATGTCGTAGTATAGACCCCAATATGACAGCTACTTTCGGTATTTTTAAGATTTTAGCAGAATTTTTAACGGATTTTATTTTTTGGAAAATTGCCAAATTTGTACCAAACGATGGAGGGTATTCAACGTTCGGCCGGCCGAACTTACTGCTTTTTTACTTGTTTCTAATTTGATACTGAACTCTCAAAAAATGTCTTAAAAAAAAGTTGTTAACATATTCGGTGTTGCACAGTGGTATGGGAGATATGCATGTTGCCTTTGCTCTGTAAAATGGTTTCCCATTATTTCATCACTTCAAAAATTTGTGGAGGTTAGTAGGCCAAACACAGAAAATAGTTTGCCCTTCTCAATGTCGCACTGGCCGCATGGAAATATTCACGCACTAATTAAATTTAACAAAAGCCCTTGCCACATAACCCATCCAACCATTCGCCACAAATTACTATTCAATCTGCAGCAGTATCTGCAGGAGTACTTTGGATAGCAAAGCACTCGATTAACTCAAGCAAGCACTTCGCCGGAAATGGGCCAAAATACCGCAGAGCAACATTTCTGCAGCTTGTGACGGTTTCATTGGCCGTTTGAAGACCATAATTCGTGCCAAAGGTGACCAATTCGAACAAATCTAAACTTATTCTAAAATTTGATGCTATTTCCGACATTTTTGCTTTCATTCAATAAAATTTAAAAAAAAAAATGTAGAAATTATGGCGTTTGACTTTGTTGCAGTTTTTTTTAACTCACCTTGTATAGCTCCCACATATGTTTCTTATCCGATTTCAAATTTGAATCGAGCTAAAGCCGCAATGCACATTTCATAATAGCCTTAGTGGATATAACATATTTTAGAAATATCCTCAAAATAAATTCTTTTTTTTTTTTTTGTAGGGGAAACAATACTAAATATGCAAATTGATATAGGCTATCTAATAGTCGGCCGCGTTTGTCTTTTTTACTCGTTATCTATTCTTTTACTAATATTAAGTTCATCATTGTCTTGTTCTTACCATTGCTCTACAACAACAACACATTTCCCATTTTAAAATCAATTCCAATTCAAATAAGTTAAACGAAAATGTTGACCAATTCCCCTGGGTAATATCGAAAACATATGAAATTCGAATAAAAAAATAAACCTACATACGCAGTATATCATTCTCTCCCTTACATATTGGTATTCTTTTTTGTGGCATTCCTTCCTTGGGGATTATGTTTTTGTCCCCTTTTGAAGCAGGCTGTCTGACCGCTTTCCACTCTAAAAACATAATTTCCTTTCAATAAACATTGTTTGTTTATCACAAAATACCTTAGTTTTCCCCCAAAAACTTTCTTCAGTTCCCCTTACGTTTCCCTTCCTCCCATTTTCCTACTCTTATGTTTGATCTACAGCTTAAATGTAATCCATCTGAGAAGAGGAGAAACCTAAATTTGAGCTCCTTTAAAAAATGTCACAACATTAAAAGATTATGTCAAAATAAAAGTAAATTTTTGGTAACATACACCGTAAAGGTGTTTGTTGGTTTTTTTTCTCTCTCTCTCCCTCTAGTGGAGAGAGGAACGGGGAGATACTGGCAATTCGTCTAAGGCTCTTAACGTTGTTGTGACTTCGCCCTTTGGGTAATATTTCAACATCAATTTAAACTAATTCGTTTAGCCGGTATTATTCTGTTGACAGTGGCATTATTTTGCGGTGATATGGCCCTGTCGTGGCATCAACAACGTCTAGCAGTTGTATGGCAAGTGGCAGGGCGAGAGCAGCAGCCCTTGTAAGAGGATAAGTTAACATTATTTTTCTTGTTTTGTTTTCGTCGAAATAAACCTAAATCCAATAATAACATAAGTGACAGACACCTATTTTATGAGTCACTTACTTTGCCATGCCGTGCGTATGATTTATATGGTATTTGTGTGGCAGTTGTAAAATAATGTTTAGCATACGACAGGGGGGTTTGTTAGGTTTCTTAGTTGGAATATCTAAGTAATAAGAGTTTTTTTCTGAAGTTAATTTCTTATGGATTCTCCATTCCAAATGACCAAAATTGGAACAGTCATAAACATAAAAAATTCATCGATTTCGTAAGATAATGAAATTCTATCAAATTTAAAGAAACGACATCCCTAGACTCCCATTGTAGGCACATTTTCTTCCTCGTCTCCAGATGGGATCGGCATTTTTTTAAACAAAGTGGAGGGTTGAATTGTGTGGGAAGTTTGAACAAACAGGGCACTTTATTCTTTTTGTATAAAATTGGATATTTTTTATATATTCTAATCAAATTTGGAAGCATTGCGAAAATATATTCTCACTGTGTACACATTCCTTAAAATATTCAAAAATCAAAAAAAATTAACAAAAAACTTAAAAAGTATCAGCCTGCTATTCATACATGTCAAAAATTGAGTTATGTATTAATTACAAAAAAGTTGATTATTCTTCAGAATTTCCAGATTTTTGGCCCGAATATGTTTGAAACAAAACGTTGTCAATAACTTCCTCTTCAATGTTTGTGAACTAAAATTTGTTCGTCATGGTCCGAAAACATAACGAATACTACTTGCTCATTTTCGAAGAAAAATGGCCCAACAAAGCCTCTGGACCACATATAAAATTTCAGAATTTCATATCTATACCAAATTTAGTACGTATATCAAAAAAATATATTCGCTTAATACCCAATTTAGTACCACTTATTACTTTTCGAACAATTATATTACACATTTCCAAAACCACGGCCAATATCTTAACTACAGATCCCAACAGTGACCTCTATATCAAGTTTCAGGAAAAAATTTAGTACTATTAAATATTTATTTTCTTTCAATTATTGTACCCATTTCCAGAGCGTCCTCCATATATCAATTCCAGATGCCAACCGAGACCTCAAAATCAAATTTGAGGTTTCCAGGCGCATTCCTTCACCCACTACCCAAATTTAGTACGTTACGTACAAATATATGACGCAATTCAAAACCACCGCCAAATCTCAAACACAGATCAGTAATCTAAATATGAAATTTCAGAATTTCCATTTCCACCTCTTCACGCAATTCCAAATGTGGTACACACTTCCAAAACCACCTTCTTATCTACAGACACCAACAGTTGTCACAAATTAAGGGAATCCAGTTATATCCCTTCACCCGATTTAGTACTTTTCGAAAAATTATAGTATGCATTTGCAAAATAACCACCAGATATTCCTATTCCTTCACACAGTGACAAATTTAGTACCACTTAGTACTTTTCGTACAAATAAAGGACTCATTTCCAATTCATCT